GAGAGAGAGAAAATGAGAGAGAGAAAATAATTCATTTTCACAGCTGCAACCATCCAGAAAACTATGCAGAAAATTCTAAATCTGTGCTATCCATTCCGACTCCATCCCTGAGATCCCTGCCTATATTTGTAAATCTGTAGTGGACACCCCTACCTGGAGGTTCTGTTGGCATCAGAAGCACAATATATCAGAAACTCCTAACTTTTCCTGTTTCTCCTCTTGGCATTCTGCTTTCTTTTAATGGTGTTGCCTTGCTTTCTTCATCCCTGTTTGCTAGCCAAGGGTCATCCTCTCCCTCTATACTCAGTCAATGGACAAGTTCTCACATTTCTTCTTCACTAATGCCTCTGGCACCCATTCTTTTCTGTGCAATCTTCCTGCCAAGATTCTAGTTCAGCCCACAATTACATCATGCCTGGACTATTATAATAAAAATTAACTTTCTTCCCTGACTCTAGTTTCTAATCCCTCCAATCTATATACCATCCTGTACTGTATAATTTTGGAGCCCTCACTATGTCCCAGGCACTTTAAGTCCTGAGGACTTGGACCCTCTGGCTACCACAAGGAGAACAGTTCAGGAAAGGAGATAATTTCGTAATCTTGTAATTATAGTACTCTGCGACAAGTATATAGTTTAAGCACAGATGGGGTGGAAAGAGAAGAACAGCATACTCAGTGCTATCTGAAGAAATCCATAGAAGCTTCGAGTAATTAATGATTTTTGGAAAGACCGAGAAGTAGCTTATCAACAAATACAGTATGAAAGACTTTCTAGGCAAAGACAATAACAAGCATAAGGGCAAGGAGCTCTGCAGAAGCACAGGGTCAGGGAAGCAAAGCTCTTCCGTACAGTTGGTATGGGTGAGGAATGGGCCTCGTATACCACATGAAAAATTCACACTCCTGTCTGTATCTAACGGGAGAAACAACTGAAGTGTTCCAACTGGGCAATAACATGACTAGATTACATTTTATGATGATTTATCAGTGTTGTAGGAAGTGATCTGGATGAAGCCGAGCCTGGGTCAGTGAATGAAAGAGCAATGGCAGTAATATGAACCAGCTTGGGCATTCAGTGGCTCAGCTTTAACAATGATACTCCCTTCCTCAAAATCCTTCAACTTCCAGTTGGCCTATGGCATAATGCCCAGTCTCCATATTCCAGGCACTCCATAAACAGCCCCGGCTTATTCTGCCCAAACCCCCAACATACAGCCTAACTTGCAGGCTCACTGGATCACTTTCTGCTCCTGGGAAAAGGATCTGTGCTTTCCCAAGCCTTATGGCCTTGTTCAAGTTCTTCTGTATCCTAGATCAAGGTTCTGCAAACTGCAGTCTGCAGGCTAGATTCGGCCCAGTGCCTGCATTTGTAAATGAAGTCGTACTGGAATAAAGCCATGCCCGTTCGTGTACTTTTGTCCACGGCTGCTTTTGTGCACAATGGCAAGCTGAGTATTGTAGCAGAGCTTTTCTGGCCTCCAAAGCCATATTTACTAACACTGGCCTTTTACAGGAAAAAAAAAAATCTGCTAATTCCTGACCTGAAACACCTTTCTCCCTTTTCACCACTATTGTAAGATGGGTAGACCCTTTAAAACCCAGCTTCAATTTAGCCTTCCTCAAGGAAGGCTTTCTTTTAATCATTCCACTCAAAAGCGCTCTCTTTGGCTTTTGGATACCTAGAGCAGTGCTTCTGGACAGTTTCATAACACTCAAATGTACTGCCTGGCTTTGTACTTTCTTTTCTTTCTCTCTTTCTTCCATTTAGGATGTAAGTTTGAGGGCAGGATTTTTACCTTCTAATCCTTGTATCTTTTAGTCCACCTATCCATTTAACTAAGTATGTAGATGGAATATAATAGATTACATATGATAAATTATTAAATTGTAACTACACAGGTGTATGTGCTCTGTTATGTGTGTAATCCTAGACTTTTACTTCTCAGCATGTACCAATTACAATTCCAAATGCATTTCATATGAAATTACATTTAATACTCAAGACTACCAAGTGAAAGGAATGCATATGTGATCCACACTTTACAGGTGGAAAGAAAAAGCTTAGAAAGATTAAGGAATTTAATGAATTGAAGTGTTTTGAGTGAGGTAAATATTCATGCCCAGGTGAATTGTGTTTCGAAGTGCAGTCTTTTAACTATTACTAAATTATCGTATTCTAGTAACATATAGCACAATGTTTTATGATCCTAGTAGATCTCAGGAAGAGACAAAAAAAGGTTAAAAAAATCAAATTGGGGTATTTTAGCTTTACAAGTGCAAAAATGAATGATTCAGATTTTAGATAACAATGATGTCAGTTTACGCCAATAATTTGAAGCAGTCATTTCTTATTCTTGAATCAGCAAATAAATAACACATTTGTTGATTTCTTTGAACCAAATCAATGTAAACAATGCTACATTGACATCCCTTAAATAAAAAGAGTCCCCTTTGGCCTTAGCAAGCAGTACAGCATTTCTTGTCTCCACTAGATCCACTCAGGCTGCTTTTTACCTTCTTTATACTGTGGTCTAATGGAGCAAGTATGTGTTGAAGTCATAAAGATGGAAGTTCCAACTCTAGATTTACCATTTTTAGATGGTATGCTTTGTTGTGCAACCACATGAGTCTCTCTTAGATTCAGATTCCTCATCTTTAAAAAATCCAAAACAAAACCAAAGTGTCAGGGTTGTTTTGAAGTTAAATGAGAGCATATATAAAATGCCTTGTAGTGTGCTCAGTACACACTAAGAACACAGTAAGATGCTGCAAATCTTTAAAGACCAGCATAGATGTTTAGATGTTAAAAAGCACAAAACCCAATCTAATAGAGTTTATACCCTTAGAAGAAATTAATGTAGACCAGAGAAGCGGGAAAGATCTCCATGAAGGGATGAGAACCAAACCAAGACTGAAGTGATAGGGGAAAGGCAAACCTGGGCATATTATTTTGGCCGTCTATCCATTGTGTCCCTTCTATCTGTGTGTGTGTGTGCATGTGTGTGTGTGTATTTTAACTTACAAGTATAAATTGCATGATACTGGTATTATAGATATTATGAGACATTACAGAACACTTCATATTTAAAATCGACTTTTGATATACTTCAGAATCAGATAAAGTCTAGAAAACAATCACATATTAACATGACAATTTAGTCTTTAATGTTCAAAAATAGTAAAGATGTTAATTACTTTTAAACAATCATATGCTTCATAGCGTGTATAATAGCATAAAATAAAGAATAAGAATTTACAGTACAAGATTTCATTATGGATTATTTCATTAAACTTGGAGCAGAACTCACATCATTTGCCTTTCAGCACATTGCTCTTTCTTCATATACCATGATCTTGTCATATACAAAAATCCAAATCTAAATTTGCATGCATTTTTCATTACTTTAATTTTATTTTTATTTGTGAATAATTGAGGGAATATTTAATTGACCCCTGATCTTTGCTGTCAAAAAGCTGTATAAAAGTCTTTGATGCTATGAATTACTCTTTTTTTTCCCTGTTATTTGGTAATTTCTACATCCACTGTTATAGGGAAACAAGATTTCCCAGAATAAAATCACACAATTCTCATAATTCAGGTTCTCACAGAATTTATTGAAGAGGTAAAACAATGTGATTACCTCATGAGTCCTGAATTTCTAACTTTAAGAATTCAATTATAAGCCTCGGATATTTTTATTTTGACAAAGGGATTAGATATCTAGTGTGTAAGGGCAGTAATTATACTGTATAAAGAGTCACTTCTGGTCCAGGAAATGGTATTCTCATTTAGTCCTGATCCTGGCATGTGGGTGTGCCAAAAAGTGTTAAAATTCTGAGGGATATCAAATACTTTATAAATACTGAAGTCATTTCTCAGCCAAAACTCCCTCTTCTACTTTTTTTTTTCTATTTTGCTATCATTTTATAGGACTTCTATTTTTTAAAAATATCAGCTCCCCAACAGTTCATTATTTCTCTAAAAAAGGATGAAAATGCTGAAATGTTTGTTTTAAACTCTGAGCTTAATGGGAGGAATGTACACTCTACTTGCTGCAATGTAGGCCTTTTTTTAAACTGTCTCTATTAGATACTTGCTGTTGCTATGTTTTCATGGGCACAAACCAAACTATAGAAACATGCAGTTAATTCCAACAAGGGCATTTCTTTGTTGGCATAAAGGAGAAAACTTTTAAAGGCATCCATTTCCTTGCCACTCTCCAACCTTAAAAACAATGGACCACAGCCAGTTTCTGAACCTTCAAGCTTAGCTACTTCTTTTCTAGCTGATCTCTGAGGAATACAGAGATAGCTTTCCTCTTCATAAAGAAGAGAGAAGCTATTCTCAGTGGAAACTCCTGCCCATTAACCAATCTGGTTAGCATCAGAATATCCATGAAAATGTCATACCTCTCCTGACAACAAGAAAGAAAAGCATAGCCATATGAGGAATGACAAATGAGAGAATTAGTAAGCAGGAATGTCTTTGTATAAATAATCTGTTCTTTAGTTGTTCTGGGTAGTCAATGGATGTCAAATACAGTGTTTTGTCTTTAAAAATAAGATCTTCATCTGATCTCTGGTTTATTATGGTGCACAGCAGAAAAATAATTTTTAGATTCATTTAACAGATGTTCATTTGTGATCCTGGCCACTAACCACAATATCAGAGCAAGGCCCTGATTTATGCTTCCAGGTTCACTTATTTATAATGCGGTTGTCTTCTGGATATATTTTGGGGCCTTGCATGATCCAAGAAATCCACGGAACTTGTGAGGACCTGCTTGAGCTCACTGGACATTTCACAGTAAAGATTGTCAATTAGATGCTCACATAAAATTTGAAATATTTATCTTCTAGCCATATTCTTTAATTGTCATGTGATCGTACTTAAAGTGATTTTTTTTTTTACATTTCTGTCTCAGTTTTTAAATTTTAGTGAATAGATGCTACAACATGATAACCAGAAAAAATATGCCCATCTCTGCTCTCTCTAGTTATAGGATCATTGGTGGAAACTCTCAGTTCACCATCAACCCATCCACGGGACAAATCATCACAAGTGCATTGCTAGACAGGGAAACAAAAGAGAATTATACTTTAGTTGTGGTCTCCAGTGATGCTGGATCCCCAGAGCCTCTTTCCAGTTCTACCAGTGTGCTCGTCACTGTTACTGATGTCAATGACAATCCACCAAGATTTCAACATCACCCATATGTCACACACATCCCATCTCCTACTCCTCCAGGTAATGAAGCCAACTCTGAGGTCTCATGGATAAATGCAAAATATACATTGGACATTTTCTATAAATATATTTCTGTTTCTTTTACATGGATATTTCTGATTTAGCTTAGGTTTGCAAATCCTCTAAAATTCAACTTGTTTTGACTAATGAAATTGAAGGAATGTTGAATCTCATAAATTAATTATTTTATCCTAGACCAATTGTGCTTAAGATTTTATAATTGCTACATCTTTCCTGGTACTATTTCTTAATATTACTTGAATATTTTCACATGATTAAAATAGTCACTTCATAGTCAAGAAGAGTTCTGCCCTGAGATATAATTTGTCAATTCCCTGAAAGGAAGGACATTGTTTTTTGTTTTTTTGTTTTGTCTTGTTTTGTTTTGTTTGCCATATGCTAATACCTGAAACATCTGGGAGGTAGTAAGCAGTCAATTATATTTGTTGGTTGAAAATAAATATTTTACCTCAATCCTTCATCGATAGGTTTTCAAAAATATTTAATGAATGGATACTTCTAATGAATTACTGTTATTAATATTTTATTCCAGTTTTGATGGATGAAGGTTTTCTGTTAGTAAGTTTATTAAGACGTTAATGACCACTTTCATATGACAATATGCATTTCTGTTTCTTCATTTAAATTAGTTTGGTTTTATTTGCTTGTTTGTAAAGAATGGCAGTCTCTCTTAAAAACTGCACAAATAATCTGCCATTTGTAATCTTTGAGATGCATTTCCAAACAGGAAAATATACAAATATAGGCCAAAATTAATTTGATCTGCCTTACTTTAAAATATTTTTAATTAGAAGAAAAAGCAAATGGATCCAGGATTTCTCCTCTCAGTGATCTTTGATCTTATATTCACTTGAGAATGTCAAATTGATACCAATTCAAAGTATGAAATGCATAAATTTTTGTGGCAATTTTTTATCAAAAGGAAATGTCAATATCAAAGTCATAAATCCCTGATGAAGGCCTCTAGCTGAAATGATGCTGGCAGGCATGATTCTAATTACGTCCAATGTGTGGTGATACAAAATAGCATCCCCTATAAAAAGTGAGTATGTAATGCTTAAGCATCTTTTCCTCATTAGACTTATTATAATTAACCAGAATCACTGGCCTTAATAAAAGACTTTTCACTTTTGTCACAAACTTTACTGTAGGGGAATGAGTGCAGGTTTGGAAAAGGTTTCCAAATGAGTATATCAAAAACATGTCCTTATGGCAGTTTTTCTGCGTATTCCTGCTACAATCTGTTCCATTGGCAGTCGTCCCAAGCACTAACTTTTGGAATCCAAACTGAGTCCGTTCTTCCTCAGTTTTTATTTCATACTACTTTATAATTGTTCTAATTGATTTATGGTTATATATATATGTATGTATTTTATCTCCATGTGATAATAGCTCACTAATAAAAGAATGCTGCTAAGAAACAGTGGATATAAAGAATCAAAACAATCTTTTAAAACAAATTAAAAATTTTGTTGACATGATTACCTGTAGGGCAAATCAAAGATGTTTTAAGACATACAGAGCAATTATCTTTTTTCGTTGGGTAGAAACAGAGCTCTTAGCAGAGCTCCCATAGTAGTATCATGTTTGTTGGAAGTTGTGTTATGTACAGATTTTCCTCCTAGGAACTATAATTCTGAATGATTAGCCATAGCTCTTCCCTGTGCTTCTCTCAAAGGCATACTGAAAAATATTAAAGCCAGTAGACCATAAGGCTTTTAGTTAGAAAATGGCAGGTCAGTCCCTGAAGACTACCATTAAGTAGATTTGACTTGGGGACTTCAGAGATAATACAGGAGTTACTGTTCTCCCCCAGTAATCATGAGAAAGTAAAGTGATATTAGGGAGCAATATAATATTTTGTATACACTAATCTACTAGCAAATGTTTTATTTGGGTTTTATGTGATTGTAACTGCACTCTCTCTCTTTCATAGGTTCCTTCGTCTTCGCAGTTACAGTCACAGATGCTGATATTGGACCCAATTCTGAACTGCATTATTCACTTTCGGGTAGAAACTCTGAAAAATTTCACATTGATCCACTGAGAGGAGCTATTATGGCAGCTGGACCACTAAATGGGGCTTCAGAAGTGACATTTTCTGTATATGTAAAAGACGGGGGCTCATTTCCAAAGACAGATTCTACAACAGTGACTGTCAGATTTGTGAACAAGGCAGATTTCCCTAAAGTCAGAGCCAAAGAACAGACTTTCATGTTTCCTGAAAACCAGCCAGTCGGCACTCTTGTCACCACCATTACAGGGTCCTCCTTGAGAGGAGAACCTTTGTCCTATTATATTGCAAGTGGGAACCTTGGCAGTACATTCCAAATCGATCAAATAACAGGGCAGGTGTCCATTAGTCAACCTCTGGATTTTGAAAAGATACAAAAATATGTTATATGGATAGAGGCCAGGGATGGAGGCTTCCCTCCTTTATCCTCTTATGAGAAACTTGACTTAACAGTCTTAGATGTCAATGATAATTCCCCTGTTTTTAAGGAAGATCCATTCGTATCTGAAATATTGGAAAATCTTTCTCCTCGCAAAATACTTACTGTTTCGGCAACGGATAAGGACAGTGGACCCAATGGACAGTTAGATTATGAAATTGTTAATGGCAATAAAGAACATAGTTTCGCTATTAATCATGCCACTGGTGAAATTAGAAGCATTCGGCCATTAGACAGGGAAAAAATATCACAGTATGTGCTTACCATAAAGTCTTCAGACAAAGGCTCCCCTTCTCAGAGTACCTCAGTAAAAGTCATCATTAACATCTTAGATGAAAATGATAACGCCCCTAGGTTTTCTCAGATATTCAGTGCCTATGTTCCTGAAAATTCCCCTTTAGGATACACAGTTACACGTGTCACAACTTCTGATGAAGACATTGGTATAAATGCAATTAGTAGATATTCTATAACAGACACAAGTCTTCCATTTACAATTAATCCCAGCACAGGAGATATTGTGATTAGTAGACCTTTAAATAGAGAAGATACGGACCGTTACAGAATCCGAGTTTCTGCGCATGATTCTGGGTGGACCGTAAGTACAGATGTCACAATATTTGTGACAGACATCAATGACAATGCTCCAAGATTTAGCAGACCCTCCTATTACTTGGATTGCCCTGAGCTTCCTGAAATTGGCTCCAAAGTGACTCAGGTATCTGCAACTGATCCTGATGAGGGATCAAATGGACAAGTGTTTTATTTTATAAAATCTCAGTCAGAATATTTCAGGATTAATGCCACCACAGGAGAGATTTTCAATAAACAGGTCTTAAAATACCAGAATGTCAGTGGCTTCAGTAATGTGAACATCAACAGACATAGTTTTATAGTGACATCTTCAGATCGAGGGAATCCTTCATTACTTAGTGAGACAACAGTTACCATCAACACAGTGGACAGTAATGACAATGCACCACAATTCCTTAAACCTAAATATTTTACTCCAGTCACCAAAAATGTTAAAGTTGGTACTAAGTTAATCAAAGTTACTGCAGTAGATGATAGAGATTTTGGTCTGAATTCTGAGGTGGAATATTTGATTTCTAATGAAAATCATTTTGGAAAATTTAAGTTGGACAATAGTACAGGGTGGATTTCAGTGGCATCTTCGCTGATATCTGACCTGAATCAAAACTTTTTGATCATTGTCACTGCAAGAGATAAAGGAAACCCTCCACTTTCATCCCAAGCCACCGTCCAAATAATTGTCACTGAGGAAAACTACCATACACCTGAATTCTCTCAAAGTCACATGAGTGCAACCATCCCCGAAAGCCATAGTATCGGGGCCATCGTCAGAACTGTTTCTGCAAGAGACAGAGATGCAGCTATGAACGGCTTGATTGGGTACAGTATTTCTTCAGGAAATGAAGAAGGCATTTTTGCAATCAATTCCTCCACAGGTATATTAACACTAGCCAAAGCTCTTGATTATGAGTTATGCCAGAAACATGAAATGACTATTAGTGCAACAGATGGAGGATGGGTTGCAAGAACTGGTTACTGCAGTGTGACTGTAAATGTGATTGATGTGAATGACAATTCTCCAGTATTTTTCCCAGATGAATATTTCCCTACTGTTTTGGAAAATGCCCCAAGTGGAACAACAGTCATCCACCTAAATGCAACGGATGCTGACTCTGGAACCAATGCTGTGATTGCATACACATTACAGTCATCTGACAGTGACCTCTTTGTCATTGACCCTAACACAGGAGTCATCACCACTCAAGGTTTCTTGGATTTTGAGACCAAGCAGAGCTACCATCTTACTGTGAAAGCCTTCAATGTCCCTGACGAAGAAAGGTGCAGTTTTGCCACTGTTAATATACAATTAAAAGGGACGAATGAATATGTGCCTCGCTTTGTTTCCAAACTTTACTATTTCGAAATCTCAGAAGCAGCTCCTAAAGGTACTATTGTTGGAGAAGTGTTTGCTAGTGACCGTGATTTGGGCACTGATGGGGAAGTACACTATTTGATTTTTGGTAACAGCCGAAAGAAGGGTTTCCAGATCAATAAGAAGACTGGACAAATTTATGTTTCTGGACTTCTTGATAGGGAAAAAGAAGAAAGGGTATCTTTGAAGGTGTTGGCCAAGAATTTTGGCAGCATCAGGGGTGCAGATATCGATGAGGTCACTGTAAATGTCACGGTGCTTGATGCCAATGACCCACCCATTTTTAGTTTAAATATCTACAGCGTTCAGATCAGTGAAGGGGTACCAACTGGGACTCATGTGACATTTGTCAGTGCCTTTGACTCAGACTCTGTCCCCAGCTGGAGCAGGTTTTCTTACTTCATTGGATCAGGGAATGAAAATGGTGCCTTTTCCATTAATCCACAGACAGGACAGATCACTGTCACTGCAGAATTAGATAGAGAAACCCTACCTATCTATAATCTCACGGTTTTGGCGGTTGATTCAGGGACCCCCTCAGCTACAGGAAGTGCCTCCCTGTTGGTTACCCTCGAAGATATAAATGATAATGGACCTATGCTGACCATCAGTGAAGGTGAAGTTATGGAAAACAAACGCCCAGGAACTCTGGTGATGACACTTCAGTCCACTGATCCCGATCTCCCTCCAAATCAAGGCCCCTTCACCTATTACTTGCTGAGCACAGGTCCCGCCACCAATTATTTTAGTCTGAACACTGCTGGAGTTCTGAGCACAACCAGAGAGATTGACAGAGAACAGATTGCAGACTTCTATCTGTCCGTGATTACTAGGGATTCTGGTGTTCCTCAAATGTCCTCCACAGGAACCGTGCATATCACCGTTATAGACCAAAATGATAATCCTTCCCAGTCTCGGACCGTGGAGATATTTGTTAATTATTATGGCAATTTGTTTCCTGGTGGGATTTTAGGTTCTGTGAAGCCACAGGATCCGGATGTGTTAGACACCTTCCACTGCTCCCTTACTTCGGGAGTTACAAGCCTGTTCAGTATTCCAAGGGGTACTTGTGATCTAAATTCACAGCCGAGGTCAACAGATGGCACATTTGATCTCACTGTCCTTAGCAATGATGGAGTTCACAGCACAGTCACGAGCAATATCCGAGTTTTCTTTGCTGGATTTTCTAATGCTACAGTGGATAACAGCATCCTACTGCGTCTCAGTGTTCCAACAGTAAAGGACTTCTTGACTAACCACTACCTTCATTTTCTACGCATTGCCAGCTCCCAACTGACAGGCCTAGGGACCGCTGTGCAACTTTATGGTGCATATGAGGAGAACAATAAAACGTTTCTTTTAGCAGCTGTGAAGCGGAACAATAATCAGTATGTGAATCCCAGTGGTGTAGCCACCTTCTTTGAAAGCATCAAAGAGATCCTTCTCCGGCAGAGTGGAGTGAAGGTAGAATCCGTGGATCATGACTCATGTATTCATGGCCCATGTCAGAATGGAGGGAGCTGTATAAGAAGACTGGCTGTGAGCTCTGTATTAAAGAGCCATGAGAGTCTTCCAGTCATCATTGTGGCAAATGAACCTCTGCAGCCTTTCTTATGCAAGTGTTTGCCAGGTTATGCTGGTAGCTGGTGTGAAATAGATATAGATGAATGTCTTCCATCACCTTGCCACAATGGTGGGACCTGTCACAATTTAGTAGGAGGATTTTCCTGCAGCTGCCCAGATGGCTTCACTGGCAGGGCCTGTGAACGAGATATCAATGAGTGCCTGCCAGGTCCGTGCAAGAATGGTGCTGTCTGCCAAAATGTTCCAGGAAGCTTCAACTGCGTTTGCAAAACTGGATACACAGGTAGGATGATGTTGGGCTCTATCCCTAAAACTTTAACCATGTCAAGTATAATGGAAAGCAGTGGATTTTGTCATTTTTAAATGATTTTCCAGGGCACCAGGGTGGCTCAGATGGTTAAGCGTCTGCCTTCGGCTCAGGTCATGATCCCGGGGTTCTGGGCTCAAGTCCCGCATCGGGCTCTCTGCTCCTTGGGAGCCTGCTTCTCCCTCTGCCTCTCTCTCTCTCTCTGTCTGTCTCTCATGAATAAATAAAGAAAATCTTTTAAAAAATAAATTATTTTCCATTACAATGGGCATAATCATAGCAAATGTTTTAAACACTTACTATTGGCTGACATTGTTGTAGGAATAATTATTTTCCAGTTTGTACAGAAAGGAAGCTGAAGTAGAGGGAAGGTAAGTCAGTTTTCTAAGGTGACCCAGATTTGTCACAGAGTCAGGTGGTAAGCCTACACAGTTATTTCCAGAGTTTGAGCTCTTAGTCAATCTGCTGAGTGTCTTGTACAAGAGCAAAAAGAGTATAATATCTTCAAATGAGAATATTCTAAAGTTTAAAGGACGTAAGATATTTAAAGCATAAGACCCAGACCATTTTATGTCCTAAATAACTGTTAACAATTATTGCTGTTTGATTCTCCTATCATCACCATTTTTTATGATCTTTTCAAATCATCGTCATCGTTATTATTGAAATTTGATCCACACTGTCACAATAGAGCAAAAGCAGTGTTTTAAGATTGAAATCAAAATGCTTTGTTATTTCTACTATCAGGTAGAAAGCATAATAGCTGACTTCCCTGGTAAGCCACAATAAAACTGAAGCATAATTTACCTTGACATTCTAGAAGCATAATAAAATATAGAGCAGCAAATATGTTTCACTAGTCTTTGGAATCTTAATAAGATACGATGTACAAATTACATATATCTCTATCAGTTTCTGTATCGTCTATCTATCATCTATCTATCATCTCGCCATCTATCTAACCTCTATCTATTAGCTGATCAGTTGTTGGTACACCTTGAAATGTGTATAAATATTATGCTGTTAATAAGTTTGAGGAGAAAGTCTCTGCTGTAATTTGCACACTATACTGTGTTAGGCCATACATATTACACTGGATTGCTCTGCAGTGTTTACAAACACAATTCAAAGTACCAGTGAGATAGGTAAAACCAGGACATATATATATTTTTTTAATTTGGTAAATATTTCACAGAATAATACTTCAAAGGAGTTTTTATAAGAAAATACATTTAGCAGGACACCTGGGTGGCTCAGTAGGTTAAGCATCTGTCTTCAGCTCAGGTCATGATCCCAGGGTCCTGGGATCGAGCCCCATGTCAGGCTCCCTGCTCAGCAGGGAGCTTGCTTCTCCCTCTGCCTACCTCTTCCCCTGCTTGTGCTCTCTCTCTCTCTCTGACAAATAAACAAATGAAATCTTAAAAAATAAAGAAAACACATTTAGCTATTATATTTTTTAAAAGATTTATTTATGTATTTTAGAGAGAGAGCAAGAGAGAGAGCATGCACGCATGGTGGGAGGAGGGGTACAAGGAGAAAATCTTCAAGCAGACTCCCTGCTGAGCAAGGAGCTCCACCAGGGCTCAGTCAGATGACCCATGAGATCATGACCTGAGCTGAAATCAGGAGGTGGACACTTAACCGACTGAGCCACCCAGGCGCCCCTAGCTATTATATTTTTAAAAAGGTACCCATCATGTATATACTTACGGCTTCATACTTGAAGAATCGAATTGCTAGATGGTGACATAAAGCAAGTTTGAATAAGTCAAAGCAGAACATACAAGCTTTACGTACTAATAAAATAATATTCTTGAAATATAAGTGAAGAAAAGGGGCAACAATAATGTGTAATGAAAAGAATCAAAGGATTTTATAGTATTTGATTTAGCTATAGCTTTTGGGAAGTCATTTAACCTTGCTGACCTTCAATTTCCCCATCGGCAAAATGAAAATAATCATACTTATCTTTTAGGTTTGTTGTAGTAAATAAAGATAAGGCTTGTAAAACACCTATCAGAGTGTCCAGCATTCTATAAGTAGCCATGCAAATTAGTAGTGTTAGTAGTAGTGTTATATAGTGGTAATAATAGAGGTATAGTACAGAATTTCTACAAAGACAAGAAGCCTCCACAGCACAGGGTGTGACTCTTACCCCAGTTGTATTCTTAGTGTCATGAATAATAGGGCTATATCCATGTTATCAGTTCAGAATTTCTAGAAAATTTTCCTTAGTCTTCCCTCTCCAACCCAAAAAATTACTTCTTCTGCTGAGAATTCAACTATAAGGATTATTTCTTTGTCCATTTTAGTATAATACACTCATTCGCACTTAGATTTAAAATGAGTTTATACTTAGTCCTAGAATGAAAAATGTGTGAAGGCGTTTGTAGTGAATAGGGAACAGTGGAAAGTACCATGGGTATGAGTGAAGGCCCCATATGCTGATTTCAGCATAAATGTTGCTTCATGATTGGACATAGAACTAATTCTTTAACATAACTTCCCTCTAGTTTGTTTCTTTCTTTGATTCATTACATTTAAATGTACATTGCATACTTTTCTAAATGTAGTAATTGAAACTTTGGGGAATTCCCCCCTTTTCGTTAGGAACTATGCCTAACATTTACCAAGTTGCTATTTAAAGCCCTTCTTAAAGTTCTTTACATCATAGACATTATTATTCATTTAGTAATTCATTTAGTTCTTCTAAAAATTCAATGAAGCTGTATTATTATTATTATTATTATTATTATTATTATTATTTTAAAGGCACAAAATATTGGGTCTCAGATAGGTTAAAAGAGATTAAATAACTTGCCTCCAGCATGGCACAGAAGGTGGTCTAAATGGGTTTTCACTGTAAGCTTGACTCTAGAACCTCTTTTTATATGTATGTGATTCTTCATCACACATTGGTTTGTATTTGCTATGGATTATTACGGCAAGTCCATGATATCTTTTAAGATCTTTTGTCCACTATTCTACTGGATCTGCACAAAAAGCATATGAGATAATGTATTGGTAGGAGATTGATCAAGAACTGAAATTACTTCCAGGTAGGAAGGTACTTAATAATAAGAAATAGCTTGCAAAATCTTTAAACTGACTAAGAATGAAGGTCAGGAAAATTCGCCAATAACTTCAGCAATGAGAACACTGTAGGTATTGCAAGAAACCACTGCCAATCATCTTGTCTACCAGCAGGGCTGCAATGAGTGAGTCCCAGAACAGTCCCTGCTTTGCTTTCACTCTCCAAATATCATTCAACTTTCACCCACTGGCAGCAGAATCTAAGGCTGAGCCCTGTTGGAAAGGAGTCTAGAAAAGACTCCTTTAGAAAGAAAATATCTTTTGTATTACTCATGCCTCAGAAATTCATGGGATCCTGGAGGAAATTAGCAGCTTAATAACTACAAATCCAGTATTTCTTTTCCTATACAAATGACATTTCTTGCACTTAATAGAACACTCATTAGAAACAATTCAACTCTCACCCAGTGGCAGAATCTAAGCCTGAGCCCTGTTGGAAAAGGGTCTAGAAAAGGACTTCCAGCCCCTACAATACAGAAGGATAGGAATGATGCTGAGTGTCAAGACATAATATCTGGCATAGAAAGACTGTAGAAAATTCAGCCTACATTCTGGTAACTCTAGGGCCAGAGCTGCCAAAGACTAGATCGTAATGTCTTTCTGTTAGGAAAGTTATTTGAAGTTACAAGAGTAATTTGAAATTACTATGGTAATTTTATACACTGCCCCTCTTCAGAGCTCATTTTATTCTTCATTTGCATAGTTAGAGATAATCCAACTGATCAAGAATGATGTAAACAAACATAAAGTTGAATGATTAATACGAATCTTCTATTTTTGAGTTCATGTAATTCATAGTTTTAAATTCTATGTGCATAGTCCATCCAGTACAACTAGCAGATAATTCAAGTCTGATAGTTTTATTTCTTTGTTTTGTTTTACAGGAAACAGTATAACAAAAATCATAGTGACAAATTCTTAATCCATACGGAATGTATTGTTCAAATGTCTGTATCTATTTAATGTTCTTTGTAAAGGTAATCCCTGAAGAATCATTTTGAGTTAGTCCTTCCAGGTAGTCTTTACCAGCTAACCTGACTCAGGAAGATGGAGTAAATGCATCAAAACATTAAAGGAGCTAATCAGAGCTAATAAGCCATAAAACAAAATTCTTACTTAAGCATATGTGTAGTGCTTGCTTCAGCAGCACATATACTTAAGCATATGTGTACCTCATAGAATGAATTTCTAAGACTATTCAGTCTAGTTAGCTTTACTTTTATTAATGCTAATTAAGTACTAATGCTTTGGTAAAGCTTTACCCAAAGCCTGTGTATATTCAAATGTTTTTTGGACATCAGAACTATTTCCGATCACCCACACCCTATTTATTTGTTTGAACTTTTACTTGCATTTTTTCAATGATTTTTAAAGTCTATGGCATTACAAACTGGAACTGTGAGATTTTCTTAACTTTATGTTTAAAGTAATCCTCAGATATTACCCCATCACACACACATACTACCACCACAACCATCATCACCAAATATACAGTGGTGACACTGTATATTTCACATAAAGTTAGAAATTGCTCTAAAGATTGGAAGAGTGAGTGGCCTATGCACTGATGAAAACCAAGAGACTTTATCCTAAGAATCCTACAGGGAGTGATTGTTAGCTAAACAGCAATTTTGGTGTGAACATCCTCTAAGGGTATAAGTACAAAAATGAATATTGTGGAACAACTAAATAAAATGATATGAAGGGATATAGTTATTACCACATTGCCAACAGTGTATTTCTGATATATGAATTTATCATATATATTTTTTAAATTTTATTTTAAAGTTGGTAACCATAGGATCACATAAGACATATGAATTAAGGATTTTTTTAAAGTGAATGAGTGATTTAGAAAGAATGAATTTGTTTGTATAACTTGTGTTTTGGATCTCTTCTTCTTAATTACTGGAAAAATAACCAAAAGGAAATTGGAAAAAAAAATAATAGACTTCACATTCAGTAACAATCACTTATGTTTCATTGTTAAAAAAATTGTTCTATAGGGGTGCCTGGGTGGCTCAGTCATTAAGCGTCTGCCTTCGGCTCAGGTCATGATCCCAGGGTCCTGGGATCGAGCCCTGCATCGGGCTCCCTGC